AGGAAGAAAAAGGAAGCCATAGGCTTCCCCAAGCGTTTAGCTTGTTTTTTTCTTGCTATCCAGTTCATTCTAAGAGTAAGGGATATGTTGACTCTATGTATGGATATGGGCGATATGAAAAAAAGAGAACAAAACAAGAATTAGAATGAAAGGGGAGACAATTTCTAGAAGTGCTGTAGAGAAAGTGAAAATAAAAAAAATAAGCAGAAACGAAGCAATCATCAATCATATCAGTATTCAAATTATTCAAATAAGCTATAATCTTAACACCTCATTTATTCTTGCTTAAAGACTCTTCCCAGGTACTCTCACGATATACCAAATCACAAAAGTGTTCAATATATTAAGCTTATGACTATAGTTATCACGTTTCAACAAATCTGGCAACAAGCACTAGTACTCTTAGGACTTATAGATATGTGATTTATACTCCTTTAAGGTTATTTTCAGATCTTTAGAAAATAAGTGCCAGGAGAATATGTAAACATACATCAAAGTTTCGTAGCAGCACATGCTTCTAGCTATGGTCTATTTTTCAACGAGCACTATTAATGCTATTGTCATGGTATGTAAGTCATGAAGAGAAAAACTACAGAATATCAATGCTTATTCTCAACAGTTAGATAAGTTTTTTCCTTAAGATATGCAAGAAACAATAAGATATTCTTAAAAACATTTCAAAACTAAAAGAAGGTGTCAATATGCCAAGATGGTATTCCAACACGACATCTCTAAAATAAAATATATATACTTGAGCAATCCAGATAAATTGCACAATCGTTAATCATAAACAACATACATATCTCCTACGGCTTATGATATCGAGCTAGGTAAACAATAATAACAATCTAAGCCTTATGCCTTCTTGAATCTGAGCATGTTATTATTTAGCTCCGAAAGCTTGTTAAACGTTCTGTCATACATATACTTGATCTAATCTAGTTAAGCATTACAAATTTTTCTAACCAGACTTTTACATAGAAAATCCACACAAAATTGTTTAAGTCCATAACTGCTTTTCACATTTCAAGAACAGTCAAATAAATTTCCTATCGACATAGTTTATACTAGGCTGCCAAGCTTATGAGTATAAATTAAAAATTAGCTACAGTACGGGGTGATGTCCAACATGCGCGAGTAAAACAAGTTGTGACAATGTTTCTAGACTACATGAAAAACCTTTTAATCCAAATCCTCAACATAACTAGACATCAAATCAATCTCATAAACTTGTAGTCATGGGTTTTTAGTTTGTCTATGGATATGTTGTTTTAACACATGGAGGCATTGGTCAAATACCAATATATTAACACATAAAAGGGGCGAGACAAAATTACAGGAGCATTCAGTAAACCAATTAACATACACATAAGACAAGTAACATTCTCTTAATAGCATGGTTTCTTCAAAACATGAATTTTAGCTAATGGCTTTAAACTATACAGAATAACGGATGGCTCATTAACAGTAAAGGGACATTAGAATAGTTGGAGTTTCAGATTCAGTGACCTTTTTGTGGGCAGTGAACGGGGCGTCGCCAAGAGGATCTACTATGTCCGGCTTTGGCTCAGCTCTTTCGGAAGACCGCGACACAAATAAAAATGAAAGCTTTGGCAGGGCTATGGACTCTGTTTTTTTGGGGTCAAAGGGGCGGCTCCCCAAAACCTCCTCTTTTGTGAGCTCCAAAAGAGAATATTTATAGGCCAAGAAGCTAGGGTTTTGAAGAGTGGGAATTAAAAAGTGCCGTTTGAATTTTGAACAGAGAAGACAAATTCATCAGTTGAATTTTGAATTGACAAAGGACCAAAGAATTGATTGTCCACCATGAATACCACAGCAAAGAGAAGAGATTTTTATGAAGAAACTGGAAAGAATAGAGCTGTTTGAATAGAGCCAAACCTGCAGATTTCTTCAAAAGTTCTCTGTCCCTTTCGCTTGACCAAATCTCGTGATAGGGATGAGAGAGGAGAAAATCACAGACATCAGCAAGAAAAGATGAGACATATGAGAAACTTATCCCAAATTGGAGGGGGCAAGCTTCTGCCATGACTGGAAGGGAATGAATTTTTGTATTGAAGAGGAAAAAAATAGGAAGAAACGTGGGTTTGGTAGCTACTGGAAAGAAAAAAGAAAAAAGAAAAAATAGAAAATCTAATTTGCTTCTTGGGCTGATTATGTTGGGCTTGTTTTTTGGGCTTGAGACATGGCTTGGACTGCTGAACATTTCCTTTTTCCTTGTGTATTTCTTTGAGCTTCTATTTTAAATAATTTTACTAGCCACAATATATAATACTACATAATATTATTGGTTAAACTATTTAATATTACTTAAAATAGTTATGGTAGCTAGAATTTTAATTTTAAAAAAAATAATAACTTACACTAAACATCATCACAAGTGTAAATATTTATGAGATGCTTAATTAAAAAAATATTATCAATTAATTATGTAAAGAGAAAAAATGTGTTTTTTTTAAATAATAGTAATAGTAATAATAATAATAACAATAATAGATATAACTATAATAATTATAATTATAATATTTTTAATAATAATATAACAAATAGGCATAGTTTGTATTAAAAATATAGTAGAACAACTACCTTATATTATTAGTGATATTAGATGCTTAAAGAAATAATTTGAAAGAAAGGAGGGACAAAATTGGATGTCAACACTTAACACACTTTATGTACCCTACTACCATGGTCACGGAGTACCCTGTATGGCACTAGTTCATAATTACCGAGTTATGGCTCGGATCGTATTATATCCCAAATTGACAACCTTCAACGAAACTTATTTTCTTTGATGCATTTACCCTTTAACCTTCACGGCACTTACTTAGCTTGTTATAAATGGCATAAATGCTTATAACCTCAAGATAATCTCATCCCCAAGTCTACGTCGATTATCTGAAGACGAAACTTTATCGTACAAAATCGGGAGATGAAACATTTTCAACTAAAGAAGTGCACATGCAGAACATGGGACTTGACAGGAATTCCCTATCCCCTTGCAATTAGAGCTTTAATTGACAAGAAAGAAGAGCCATTGAGTGAAGTGCATCGGTGGTACTCAATGGAAGCTTATAGGGATGTGTATATGCATAAAATACAACCAGTAAGAGGTAAAAAATTCTGGAAGGTGAAACCAAATTAGGATGAAGCACATTGTGACAATTGATTGTTAAGTATCTTTGTTGGCTACATATAACAATCCTTGTTATCTATTGATTATGGAAATTGTTATTTTGATGTTATTTGTTTTCGAATGTGTATAACATGATGTTGTTCTTGTGGCAATACTTTAGATTTCAATAAGCATAACATACCAATGAAAACTGGAAATTCAGCGAAAACGGCAATACAAAAATACAGTATAAAGACAACTGCAAATTCAACTACTAGCACTAAGACATACAGACATTAAAACCTGCAAATTCCCTTCATTTAACAACTATGCCAACAATCTGTGCTTACTAAGCAAAACAACTTCTCTACATCATCTTGCAAGCTACAAAGATAACAACAATCTACAGATTTTGTATGCCACAACGATTAGCATATTACTATGGTCACCACATTTGGACACTACTAACCAAAACACAACTTCTCTACATCATTTCGTAAGCCACAAATATAACAAAAATAATTCATGACCATATACTTTTTCCATATCTTCAATTTCAACTCCAAATTTGAAACTTTCTCCACCAATGCAGATACATTATACAAATTTCCAGCTTTACTACCAACCATATCATCGATCATCTTCCTAAACTTATCCCTTTCTTGACGAAGAGCATCCACTGTAATATTTTTCTTGTAAATAAACATTGATACATATGGTGAAAGTTCTTCATCGCGACATTCCCCATAACGACAACCATTACTCTCGTAACGAGGACATTTATAGAATCTACGACCATCATTCATAGGTGTCGTAGCAGTAAAATGATTGGCTATCAGTCCGCAATAACAAGCACAAGCATCACCTAGGTCACGAGAAGAAGTAGAAGAAGATTCTGCCATTTGAAGCTTAAAAAGAAATGAACTCAAATTTATCAAAGATTTCGAATTAATATATGGGAGATGAGAGAGGAGAGAAATTATTGTAATTTGGTAATGAAGTGGGTGGAAAATGACCTAACATTGGGTGTTTTGGGGGTAAATGAATGTTTACTGGGTCGGGTCGGTCTATTTGGGTTATGGGTGGGGTAAAATCCGATTTGGGGTGTGCCTTATTTTTTGGCCAATTAGAAATAGCCACATGGAATTTAATAAAATGTTAATATAAATCACAAGTCACCCGTTAGAACTAAGGGCACAACTATACTAGATTTTGACGGTAGGGTCATTCTTAGCAAAATAGGTTAACGAGGGGCATTTTTAGACTGGAGTTGATACGTTAGATGCAGGTCTGGCCCTTTACCGTTTAGTTAATTGAAGGTCAAATATGCTTATCAAAAGTACAACAATAAATACAAGAATTTACCAATAACTGAGGGACCAAAAGTGCAATTATCCCTAATGCATATCTACGTTAAATTCTTGGGGAAACAGCGATTTTGGTCCTCGAGTGATTACGTTATACCAGTTTTGGTCCATGAATGGTGAAATAGCAATCGTGATTTCTAATTTGACTTGGCACAACATTTAATAAATAAAAAAAATAAGATTATTAAAACTTGTGATTTTAAATATTCCATAGCATCTGTGTGACTATAAAACTTTTGAAAGTTGTAATTTAAAACAAACCATAACATTTGTATAGCTATAAAAAGTTCTTACCTAAGGAAATATTGAAACATATCATTTTGATTGGAACGGAGTAAAAGGAAATAGTGGCAAACAAAGTGTATCTGATAAAGTACATGAGCATTAAAAGGAAATGAGCTTTGATAAAGCAAGAGGGGTTCATATAACTCCTCCGAACTAATTTGGGGTTGAGACTTAGTTGATCTGTTAAAGATTATACACATCTACAGGGTCTAGACTTTTTCAGAAGATATTCTTTTACTATATAAACAATCAACTGGAAACAAGGCAGATACATTAAAATACAGTCGAAAGCTCTTGACATTAACAAAGACCTGATCTCATTCACCAAATGATTTATTAACCACCTAGAGTTGGGAAGAAGTAAACTAATAACATTTACTTATAGAACTAAGAATATAATCATCATTCTTCACATAACGCTCGCCTTGATCTTGAAGAACTTCTTCCTTGTATTATGAATGTAGTATGGTATCTCCCTCTTATTTGACTCGAAAATTATATTGTCAGGCAACTGTCTTTACACCTTAAAGAATACTACGTTTATGTAATAAATAAGCCTCTTCAAAGTTATCGTCAATGCCTGCTAAGGTTAGACAAAAATGTGTATTAGATAATCATTTACTTCTGCCAAGGTGGTTTCCCATTATCCAAGTCCTCCATCACATCGATATCCTTTCGTGCTGTTATCTTCTGCACATAACCTGCAGTCGCAAAGATTTTGTATTAAAAAGCAAATTGCTCCACATTCTCAAAACAAGCTGAAATTTCTTTACTGATCTCATTATGAGAATCTGTAGTTTCCCTATTACTCCTGTTGCAAATTATGGAAGTCATCGGCCACTTTAGCCTTGCTGTTTTCTCAATTATCTTTATTTCTAATCTGAACTCTGTTTTAGTCCATGAGAAAAAAGGAACTTCTAGATAACTCAACTGGCATAAAGCATGCACCTTGTGGGGTACTTTATAACTGACATCCGTGTGTTCACCAAGTTTAAACTCGCTAACACGTGAGAAAAATAATGTTACTACCTACCTTCATCAAGCGATACAAGTTCCAGAAGATATAGAAGCGTCAATTATCTTATTCATAGCTAATTGTATCCATTTATTAAGTTCTCGCATAAGCTTGTACTAAAGCAGAAGAGGCAAAGAAAGGAAACAGAAAGTAGAAACTTCTTTGTTTAAATTTTCTACTTGTATCAAAGAAAATGCACTTCTTGTTCATAAAAATTTATCTGTACAAAGAGACAAGTTTTGGTCATGACTTTTGTAAACGTCCATATCAAAGTGTAGGTGAACACTATAATGACTAAGGTGCTAAAGGGGGACAAGATAAACCTAAAATCTCATGAAGGTATGCTGTCTCAGAAGCTGTAAAATTTCTATCAATGTGTACTAAGCTAAGAACAGAATAAATAGAAGCGAAGGATTAAAACAATGAAAAGGGTCTACAGTCCCTAAATTCGCTTTCAGTATTGGAAGTTGTGCACATATAGAACAGGAAAGTATTGCAATTCCTAAAAAACATAGCTAAAAAAATATTTTTATTTTTGTTAAAAATGCATCTTTGCTCCTCATCCTTGGTGCTCTGCTTCTTAATTGTTTATACATAAAATAACAACAACTACGCCTTATTCCCAAAGAAAGTTGGAGTCGGCAATATGTTTATACCTAGAGGGTGTTTGGATTGGCTTTTAAGCTGGTCAAATCAGCTTTTAAGCTCTTTTTAGCTTATTTTAGTGTTTGGCAAAGTCAAAAAGTGCTTAAAATAAGTTAAAAACTGCTTAAAACAAGCCAAAAGCAATAAGTTGGGCAACCCCAACTTATTGCTTTTTGGCTTAAAAGCTATTTCTGCTGAAAAGCCACTTTTTTAAGCCAATCCAAACGGGCTCCTAATCTATCCTAAAACTACTTCGAAAGATGAATGGTGCCAAAATCACAATACACATATCAGCATGTACAATAACTCAGTTAAAAACTACAAGTATAGCATAGTCAATCAGAATAGTATAGTACGCCAAAGGAGGGATTTAGAAATGATCCCCATCAATGGCCTTCCTACTCCTTCATAATCACTTAGTCCATAAGCTGCTTTTAGCTCTCTCCATACCTATTTCATGGATTTCCTACATAAATCACTAAAAGTCCCTCTTGCCCCACTCTCGATTACCCTCTCCAGCTATCATTTTATTTTTACTTTTCAAGGTACTGGAATTTAAAGCTTTTAAAGCAATTATTCTGCAGTCCTACAAAAAGTGCACACAAACGCAGTTTTTATCCGAGGGAAAATCGTCAAGGAATCTGGAAAAGATCCATACAATTGAAAAGGGGTCTTCCCTCGACAGTCAAATCTGAAGTCAAAATGATTCTATCGACAATCTCGTCAAATAAGCACCATAGCTTTAAAGGTTGAAGTGGGCTCTGCCCATTAATGCGATGATTCAGGACAACTTGACGGATCACACGGCCCTCGTGTTGGGGACACATCATCCAAAAATAATGATAGAAGATTCCAGAAAAAAAAAAGAAGGAATTCTCACACAAAAAGAACAAATGAGAAAGTGAATATATCCAAGAGAATCTCACCAGAAGACTGAGTTCTACGAAGTTAATTTAGCATTATGGCCTGCTTCTGCAGAGCTTTTCACTCGTTTTTTCACAGAAAACATCTCCAGTGAAAAAGCAAAGATTAATAAGTTTGCACATTAAGGAATTGAAAAATTTCTTTCTGCTTTATTTGTACTTTTGGTGCAAAGAAATAATAGCTGCTTATATAGATAATTTGGGTAGGTTATGGAAGGCTAACACATACAGTTTTCTTTAGCACCATCTTGTTGATTCAACAACATAATATTCTGACTCGCTAAACTGAATAAGTGAGCACACACTCAGGCACCTTAAGTTAGCATCCTTCTAATGCACCCCTTTCTTATTGACGTGCAATTAATCTTTAGGGACGTATTCACAATTAGTCCTACACAAGAATAAATGACCTACTGCATTCTACTATATACATCGAAGCATTGAATGCATCAGTATGCAGTCCATACTCGCAAAGTAGAGCAGGACAGCTAAAGCAAATAGTGTTCATTAAAACTATAATTCACAGAAGAAATAAATCTAAAATTCTTGTACCAATCCCTTGGCAAGGTATGCATTTGCAGATGGTCTCCTTCCCTCGTTTGTTATAGTAACTTACAAATCCTGTTCCTTGGCAACTCCGACATTTTCCAGTCCACTCATGGACGACTTCCTTGCAATCCTAAGGTAACAAGAATGACCAAAGAGTATCATCAAAACATAACCATGATCAAAGGAAACATAACAAACCTCGACCAAAGGATAACTTAACACTCTTGTAAACATCTTTTATGCAGAACAAAGATATTACACTGTGGTGACCAATACCATTCTGGTTCCTACCAATATTATTAGTAATCTAGTGGTGGAAGAGATTTTCTTTTGACAGGATATTCACCAATATTGGTCCATACCTTTACCAATAACTTTGTGCCACAAGATACTAGTCAAAATGCCGACCTTGAACGGTGCTGCCATATAAGCTTCAAAAAGGAGTTCTGCTTTTAAAGAAGATCTTTTCTTTTAATCACTGCACAATCATTAATGTTCCGAAAGGTCCCATTTATACATACTACAACAACAACAATTGTCCCCGAGTTCCAAACAAGTTGGGGTCGGATATATGAATATTCACCGACAACGTTACTCCATTTAAACTCATCTCATGCCAATAATATGCAAATACAAATAAGAAGTATTAAAAGTTCTGTATATTTTCTAAACGTATAAATCTCTGAAAGGTTAACCCCCTCCTAGAAAGCATAGGACCTACAATAACTAACAACGTTTGTTCTTCATTCCATCCTTGGCCTATGATATGATCAATGGCTTAACTGGACCACCTCGGATTCTTAAATTAAACCTTTACAGGAAAAAGGAAATTGGATTTTCTTATTAAATCTTCTTTTCTTAGATTATGATATCATCAACCGGTAAGTTTAAGAAGGAATGCATTGATTTTGTGATTCCTTTGTCTAAAACATATCGTCAACCAATATGTATGGCCTATATAGATCTTTTTCTTCTATTGTGCCCTATCTGTTGTTAAGTCTGCATGAATCCCAGAAATTGTAAGTCGTTCGAGCCTTCCTTTCATGCGATTTAGGTCATCCTCTTTTAACACCTTCACTCACCATGGTTGCACACCTACAACGGGTGCAAAATAGAGAAGAGGACAAAAGGTAAAACAAACACACCATGAAATGCTGAAATGCCATGGATGTATGTAGCGCTCCAATGAAACTAACGACATTTGAAGAAGGAAAATTATCTACCAATCACTTTTGCCTTGATCTCAAACTAGCTTGGGTCTAGTATTTATCATAGTTTGCTATTGTTAGGCCACATCCAAAGGTGTGGCTTAGCGGCCAATTAAACTAGAATGGAAAATGTGAGACCAGTTTCAGATACCCGTAGTGGCAAATAAAGCTATGTGATTTCTTCTCATTAGTCTAAAATGAGATTAACATAATAAAGATATGAACAACTAATAGAGCAAAGCGAAATGAAGACCTCAATTTGGGGATCACAGCGAAGGCGACGGTCAATTTCCTCCGCGGAAACAGGAGAAGTGTTAGGATAAGTCATAGGAAGAGGAAGAGGTTCCCCATCATCCGTCAAGTAGCTCTCTCTATTACGCGACCAAGGCCTTTCCCAGCCATTGACTTCTGTGTTTTTGCTCGAACTTCGCTTCTCCACCGGAGCCGTGCTATCGGAGTTCTGGGAAACTCTGCCGGCGCCGGTGGAGGAAGCGGCATCAGCGGCGGAAACGAAGTTGAAAGAGGACGACGACGATGGGCCAGCCGGTGGGTCAGCGGCGGCGTGGCAACGAATGGAGATGGTGGTCTTAGGATGAAATGGGAATGCGGAACAGGTAAATCTCGTCGGAGTGAAAATGGAACAAGGGTTTATAGGCAACATTCGAAAGAAACGAGATGTGTTTTCATATAAGACAGTGTGTAGCTTCGAAAAGATTTAGTAGGCGTTTGGACATAAGAATTGTAAAAAAAATGGTGAAAAAAATTTTCAAAGTTAAAATGGTATTTGAAATTTAGAGTTGTGTTTGGATATAAATTTCAGTTTGGGTTGTTTTTAAAATTTTGTGAGTGATTTGAGTGAAATTTTGAAAAATAGCTTTTTGCAGTTTTTCAAATTTTCGAAAATTTGAAAAATGCATCTTAATGTAAAAATTGGAAATTTTATGAACAAACGCTGATTTCGAAAAAAAGTGAAATTTTTTTGGAAAAATCTTCCATCAAATTTTATGTCCAAGCGGGCACTTAGGAGGAGGATTGCTGAGGTGTTGCCTGTTTGAAAACGTGATTTGGTTTTCCACCGGTATCTCCTACTCGTATTGGAGCCCGACTATATCCGAATTGGTAGCACCACATCCTTTGGTGGTGGCTTTTCAAATTTGGTTGAAATTGTGCAATAAACAACTCGGGTGTTTTGGCCTTGTATGACAACCTAACCTAATAAATGGCATAAAAAAGCAAACTTATTGTTATTGGCATCTTATGACCTGCATTTATATTTTAATTTAAAAAATTAACTTTTGTATAAAAAAATAAGTTAGACCTTCTTCCCCTATGTCTCTCTCTTCGTATCTCTTCTTTATATCTCGTCATTCTCTCTCTTCACACCAGAAAATTTTAGAGCAACTGCATAAATAAATGCCTAAAGGAATAGATCAACCATGAAAGTGAAAATTCTCGTGGCCTGTTTCGAAGTTGGACAAGTTTTTTCATTCTCACTTAGCATTAATGGATGAAACCAAGTAAACTTACCAAAGTTTGCACAAAATTTTTGTTCAGAATAGAAATAGTTTGTTTTGAATCGAAATAAGAATGAATTTGGGTGACTATACACATTCCAAGTTTATTGAACTTTCAAATTTTGGTGAATACACAACTCAATGTATACAGACTTATATATCTTATTTCATGTATACCATGCATATTTATATACATGTCTATGTATATCAATGAAAATATTGTGTGATATACACTGACACATAATATGATATACAAGTCTATGTATAAATCATTTGTGATATTGTTTATCCTAAAAATTGAGTAACAATTAAACTTATAATGTGGTTTTAAAGATATGTGATTTCACCTAATACCAATTGATAACCGTAAAGATTAATGATGCAAATGACAATAATACAAAGCAAACCAGTGTTTTGTTAATTCCCTCGAGCTAATGAACCCTCGAGCTTGGTAGAGTAAGAACAGTTAAAGAACAGTAAGTTGATGATCAGAAAAAAGAAATATTATATTGCTTTGATATTCGTGAATGTAGTCTTTGTTAGTAGACTGTATTTGTAAAATAATTCTGGAAATATAAATGAACATAAACAGAAATGAACATAAACAGAAAACCAATTCGAGCCCACTGAATTCACAGTGTTTCCTTAAGGAATTTAATCCCCTCCTGGTACCCAAGTTTATGGATTATTTCCTCCCAGGATAGAACGAATTACACACTGGTGTAGTGGTACTTCAAACCCCAGTGTTTCAGCGAACACAAAGTTCGGAAGCAAATCACACTTACTTTTGCTTTGTTTGATGCTAAAAGTATGCAGAAGAAGGAGAAGAAACTCAGAAAATCGTAGTGAAATTCTGAGCAGAATAGTGTTGTATTTATAGCCAAAGTTGGGTTAATATTAATATTTATTTTAATATTAATATTCTGTTATTAAAACAAATATTTAATAACATTTCTGTTAATATTTTATTATTAACAAATAAATTTGGTCCAAAAAGTTAATCAATCAATCATTTGACCAAATCCAAATCCGAATCTGAATCCGAAGCCGAAGCCGAAGCCGAGCCGAGCGAGCGAGCGACGACGATGGCGTGAGGCTTGCCTTCTTCTTAACTCTTTAAAAGCTAGAAGAAGAGCAATTGTTTATATACCCATAAAAAACCTCTTCCTCTTCCTCTTCCAATATGGGACAATGTCCATTTACCAAGGGGGAAAACTTAAAATTTCACTCAAAAATTTCATTTCCCTCCATTTTCCACCCTCTTTTATGTATTTAATATATTAAATACACAAAAAATCCAACAATCCTCACATGAATGGGGAATATATCACGGAAGTATGCATGAAAAACTGTGTGATTCGCAAGTAAGGATTAATTGCATCTGGATAAGTAGGTTTCCCTTTGAACTTTCCGTAGTGAACTTATGTCGGATATACTCGATCAATCGGTAGATTTGATATCTTTGAACCGTCGAACTTTGGTGTATACTTAGACAACCACAAGTCACACAACCAACCCTTAACCGTCTTTGGTTCTCATTGTTGTGTTCGTTTCAGTCATGAACACCGCCTGGTTTCATAAGTGCGTAGAGAACTGGCCTTACAAAGTTCTCCTTGAAGTGACTAACACTTCACACTTACATAGGTGATTCATAAACGTGTCATCTCGTAGATACACTATTTGATATACCCCGTATCAAATTTAGAAATCATTAAAAAGCCTTAATGCTTTATCCTTGGTACTGAACATTAACTCATCACGAGAATGGACCAAAAGTTTAGTTGACAATGTTGAACCGTCATTAATGACTTTGTTTGATCTCCTTGAACCTAGATCTTGGGATATCCAGTCTTCTAGGTAGAGTTATCGCCACTATGACTTATTCCCGGCCACAGTCCCATTCCCCTTGATGACTTCTCAACTACCTCTCTAGTTAGGCCTTTTGTAAGTGGATCCGACACATTATCACTTGATTTTAGATAGTCAATCGTGATAATTCCTCTAGAGAGTAATTGTCTAACGGTTTTATGTCTTCTTCGTATATGACGAGATTTACCGTTATACATAACGCTCCCAGCCCTTCCAATTGCCGTTTGACTATCACAATGTATACATATTGGTGCCAACGGTTTGGGCCAAAATGGAATATCTTCCAAGAAATTTCGGAGTCATTCAGCTTCTTCACCGGCTTTATCTAAGGCTATGAATTCAGCCTCCATTATAGAGCGGGCAATACAAGTTTGTTTGGAAGACTTCCAAGATACCGCTCCTCCACCAATAGTGAATACATATCCACTCGTGGACTTGGAATCAGTTGATCCGGTGATCCAATTCGCATCACAGTATCCCTCAATGACCGCAGGATATTTACTGTAGTGCAAAGCAAAGTCCTGGGTATGTACTAAATACCCCAAAACTCGTTTCATGGCCATCCAATGAGATTGACCTGGATTGCTCATATATCGACTCAATTTACTTATAGCACAAGCTATATCTGGTCGTGTACAATTCACGATGTACATTAAGCTACCCAACACACGAGCATAGTCCGACCGTGATATGCTTTGGCCTTTGTTCTTTGCTAATGCAAGATTCACGTCAATTGGAGTCTTTGCAACTTTAAAGCCCAAGTGCTTGAATTTTTCAAGTACTGTCTTAATATAATGAGATTGTGACAATGCCAGACCTTGAGAAGTCTTATGGATCTTAATTCCCAGAATTAAATCAGCAACTCCCAAGTCTTTCATATCAAACTTGCTAGTTAGCATACGCTTAGTATCATTTATGTTGGCAATGTCATTACTCATTATGAGCATATCATCCACATATAAACAAACAATGACTATGTGATTTGGAACATTTTTAATGTACACACATTTATCACATCCATTTATCTTAAATCCATTTGACAACATTGTTTGGTCAAATTTCGCATGCCATTGTTTGGGTGCTTGTTTTAATCCGTAAAGGGACTTAACAAGTCCACAGACCTTCTTTTCTTTACTTGGAACCACAAACCCTTCAGGTTGTTCCATGTAGATTTCTTCCTCTAACTCTCCATTTAAGAAGGACGTCTTAACATCCATTTGATGAATTTTAAGACCATAAACTGCAGCTAACGCTACTAACGTTCGTATGGATGTAATTCTTGTAACTGGAGAGTATGTATCAAAATTGTCAAGATTCTCGTTGTCTATACCCTTTGACCGCAAGTCTTGCCTTATATTTGTTAATAGTGCCATCATCTTTCATTTTTCCTCTTAAAGATCCATTTAGAACCCAACGGTTTATTTCCAGGAGGAAGATCAACCAATTCCCATGTATGGTTGTTCAATATGGATTCTATTTCACTATTGACTGCCTCTTTCCATAACAATGATTCCGAAGAAGACATAGCTTCTTTAAATGTTTGAGGCTCATTTTCCAATAAGAAAGTCACAAAATTTGGTCCAAATGAAGTAGACGTTCTTTGACGTTTACTACGTCTTGGATTCTCCCGGTTAAGTGTACTTTCTTTTGTTTCTTCCCGAGGTCGTTTAGATCCTTCACCAATCGACTCACATTCCTTTTTATACGGATATATATTTTCAAAGAACTCAGCATTTCTGATTTTATAACCGTATTATTATGAATGTTGGGATTTTCTAATTTATGAACCAGAAATCGACATGCTTTACTATTAGTCGCATATCCTATGAAAACACAATCAACGGTTTTCGGTCCTATTTTTTGTGACGACCCGGCCGGTCGTCTTAAGAATTAACGTCCCGATCCCCTATTAACTGCTTCCCCTAAGTTCATGTCTGCCATTTTGGTTTGCCGGGACGTTCGGCGTTGAGTTTCGGAGAGTTTTGGGATACTTAGTCCCTAAATGAGAGCTTAAGTGTTGAAAAATGGTCCGTAGTCGGAACCGTGTGAAGACGACCTCGGAATGGAAATCCGATGGTTCCCTTAGATCCGTTAGGCGATTTCGGGGTTGGGAGCATGTTCAAAATGTATTTTGGAAGTCCGTAGCTCATTTAGGCTTGAAATGCCGAAGTTTGAATTTTTGAAGTTTCCGGTCCGATAGTGAGTTTTTTATCCGAGGGTCGGATTGGAATTTCGAAAGTTGCAGTAGCTCCGTCATGTCATTTGGGATGTGTGTGCACAACTTCAGGTCATTCGGACGTGTTCTGGTTAGGTTTTTGATCGAAAGCGTATTTTGATAAAAAATTGAAGTTCTTAGGCTCAAATCCTTGTTTAATTCGAGT